CTCGTAACCATATACTAAAAGGGATTTATTTGCCGGTCTTCGCATTGCAGCTGAAGCCATACTCCTTGGTTTCCAACATTTTCTGGTTATGCTAGGCACGACTGTTATCATTCCCACTGCACTTGTTCCTCAAATGGGTGGAGGAAATGTAAGAGTGAATCATTTTGTAGAGAGATTTCATTGGCTTTCTATTATTACGAATTGTCTTCTGTTGATTGTTGTCGTTCATTTCTTATTTTTGTACTACTTTTTCGAACTTGTCCTCCATACCATCAGGATGAGAAAGCCAGGGTAGTCCAGACATTGCTCTTTGTGGCTGGCATCAACACTCTTTTCCAGACTTTGTTTGGCACACGCTTGCCGGCAGTGATAGGCGGTTCTTATACGTTTGTTGTGCCAACCATCTCTATCATCTTGGCTGGTCGTTACAGTGATATTGTGGATCCTCATGAGGTTACTAGAAGACCAAACTTTGTGTTTTGTTATGCTCATTCTTCGAAATCATTCGTTGTATTTTTTTCATCATGCAGAAATTTTTGCGTATAATGCGTGGAACCCAGGGTGCCCTAATTGTTGCTTCAACCCTTCAGATTATTATCGGTTTCAGTGGTCTTTGGCGAAATGTAACTAGGCGAGTGTTAACTTATTTCAATTTTGTTATCATCAATGTCTGTGATCTTGTGCTATTAATGTTCTCTTGCCTTCTTTGATTTGACTGTCCAGATTCTTAAGTCCACTGGCGGCGGTTCCTCTGGTTGCACTTGCTGGATTTGGGCTTTATGAGCTTGGTTTTCCTGGGGTAACAACTTTTCATGAACTTATTCAAATTCTGCTCTCAGATTGAGCTTGTCATGCTATTGTTCTTTAGGCGACCTTTTGTTCTTCAAGCTCTTCTTAGTATTTGCTCTCACTCGATAATATTTGGATTGCAGGTTGCCAAATGCATTGAAATTGGGCTTCCACAGATAATTCTTTTGGTCGTTTTCTCACAGGTATTTTTCTCACATGGGAGTATGGGACCATAGAATTTACTGTTGACCTTTTTGATGCTATTGCATTTTTTGTACATTATTGTTTTCTTGACCTATTTGTCATAAGAATCATGATGAATGGCATTATGTATTCCCAACAGTACATCCCTCATGCCCTACGTTCAGAGAAGCCTGTGTTTGATCGATTTGCTGTCATATTTTCGGTTACAATTGTGTGGCTTTATGCATACTTTCTTACGGTGGGAGGAGCATACAAACATTCCCCACCAAAGACACAATTACATTGCCGTACAGATCGGTCAGGGCTTGTTGGTGGCTCTCCCTGGTGAGCTTAATTTCTGTTTCATTCTTATGCTAACCATATTTGCATTTTTTTGATATCGTCATCTTGATAATGAATAGGATACGAGTTCCATATCCTTTTCAATGGGGTGCACCAACGTTTGATGCTGGTGAAGCTTTTGCAATGATGGCTGCTTCATTTGTTTCTCTTGTTGAGGTCGGATCTCATATTTCCTTTTCCTGAACTAAGATGCTGGTTTCGGCTACAAATGTCTAGCCATAGTGATCGGACGAACATAAATTTTCTTGATCAAATTCCATCCTAATATGGTTTCTCAACTCAGTTCTTTCTGATAAATGTCTGTGCAGTCTACTGGTACTTTCATTGCGGTAACAAGATATGCTAGTGCAACACCATTGCCTCCGTCAGTTCTTAGTCGTGGGATTGGTTGGCAGGTATGAGATTCAGCTGCTATGTTACCTGAATTCATGCGACCCTAGACCTAGCACTTGGTTATTGATGTAATGATCAAGTTTTTGACTTCAGGGAATTGGTATCTTGTTGGATGGACTATTTGGAACTGTTAATGGGTCATCAGTATCAGTGTATGTCAAAAGTTTCGCATTTTAATATCAACTGGCTTATTGTCACATGCTGAATCCTTCTTATGTTGTATAAGAGGCTGATTTTTCATTCTTCTGCAGTGAAAATGCTGGTTTACTAGCTTTGACACGTGTTGGCAGCCGAAGGGTTGTGCAAATATCTGCAGGATTCATGATTTTCTTTTCTATTCTTGGTAAGCTGTCTGTATTATGATGTTTCTGGCTTCCTGCACATTAGCTTATTGATCAATTTTCTATGAGATGTTTCCAGAGGCACTTATTTCCATTCTATGTTAAATGGGTCTCTTTGATATTTACTTTCAAGCACAATATACAATTTTGTTCTTGAATGAACAGTCTCTTACCGATCCCCGTCAGATACTCTGCTCGGCATGAATACTAAAGTGAATGGTACTTTCATACTACGTTGGAGCCGAGGGCAAAAGACAAGCAATTGAAGCAAATTTAGTCCTCAGATGAGCTAGGAAATGAGTAGAAACTTTTAATGCTATTTCCTACTAGTCAAGTCAATACATCAAAATAATAAAGAGAAGTTTTTTTAGAAGTTCTTAATTATACACCACATGTTGATTTATATTGATATATTGATGACAGTATTGCATCTAGTTCTTCACATTTTGTTTCTTGATGTTCACTATTCTGGGTAATATACTATATTACATGCTACAATTAATTTCACTTTCCAAAGGATAGAAGATCGGTTAAAATAGTTAGGGTTTATGACTTACAGAAGCGCTATATATTACTAACCAAATCAACTGGACTGACCTTTTCCCTTTTCATTTTGCCAACTCAGGAAAATTTGGAGCAGTTTTTGCATCGATTCCTGCACCGATTTTTGCAGCTCTATATTGTCTTTTCTTCGCATACGTCGGTACGTACTAGGATCAAGAAAGCTTGTTGACACCAATTTAAGTTACCTATATGCATTTTTTGAATTTTGTCAGGTTCATTTACTTTCATCTTTGGCTGAAACAGGTGCTGCAGGCCTTAGTTTTCTGCAGTTCTGCAATCTTAATAGCTTCCGAACAAAGTTCATCCTAGGTCTATCTGTTTTCATGGGCTTGTCGGTTCCCCAGTACTTCAATGAGTACACTTCTGTTGCTGGTTACGGTCCGGTTCATACCAAAGCAAGATGGGTACGTCGAAAACTACAACTTTGATGAGTACCGCCTATTCTCATTCGGAAAATATGGTTTCTGCTGTGCTCATTGTTTGATTTTTCTTCCAGTTCAATGATATCATTAACGTAATATTCTCTTCAAAGCCATTTGTTGCTGGATTAGTGGCATTTTTCTTGGACAACACCCTGCATAGGCACAACGAAGCTACAAGAAAGGACAGAGGTTATCATTGGTGGAAAAAGTTCCGAAACTTCAAGGCAGACATGAGAAGTGAGGAATTCTACTCATTGCCGTTTAACCTCAATAAATTTTTCCCATCTGTATGAGCTTCCAGGCTAGTTGTTATTCAAAATGTCACGTCGTATCAATTTAGAGAGTTCTCATGGCGGTCGTAGTATATTTCATTTTGCTTCTTGTCCTGTGGAAAAATCTTGTTGTATGAACGAATCTAAATGTTTTTCCCTTTGGCAATTTTCTTTCAGTATATCTTTCACAACCTTGGAATTGTTTATTTATTTCTTCCGACTCAATTCAAATATTTTTTGGCATATTTACATCATATTTGAAGAAACTTTAGAGAGAGCTCATGACGGTAATAGTGTATTTCATTTTGCTTCTTCGCCAACGCAAAATCCTGTCACATAAGAAAATTGCTTTTGGTATATGTGTCATAACCTTGGAATTGTTTCTTTTGCCTTTCGACTCGCTTTGTATTTTTTTTTTTTTTTACATATTTACATCATATTTGAAGAAACTTTAGAGAGAGCTCAAGGTGGTAGGAGTCTGTTTAATTTTGCTTCTTCACCTACAGGAAATCCTGTAGTATAAGTGAATCCAAATGTTTTTGCCTTTGGCAATTTTTCTTTCGGTTTATGTTTCATAACCTTGGAATTATTTGACCTGTGTCATATTTATAAAAGGCTAAATTGCCATCTGATTGCATGTTTATATCATATGGGAAGAAAATTGAAGTATAAAACTTTTTCTTAGCTCCTTCTTCTTTTAGTACCTATGTCATTTGACTATAACCTTCTCTAACAAAGCCAACACTATTTTTTTTGACATTATGGCATTTCGTTTTCCCATTTCTGCATTATGGTGTTCAAAGAAATATAAAGTTTCAGCAAAAGAAATACCAACTATTGTTTGACATTCAGTACCACAGAGTAGTCCTATTCCCATTTGGTATGTACAAAGTTACTAATGCTTGCATAGATATATATATAAATATATATGTATATATATATATATGCATATATGTATATGTATATCTATATACATATGTATCTATATATATATGTATTTATATATACATATATGTATATATACATATATGTATATATACATATATGTATATATACATATATGTATTTATATATACATATATGTATATATACATATACATATATATATACATATATGTATATATACATATACATATATATACATATATATACATATATATATATATACATATATGTATATATACATATATATATATATACATATATATATATATATATACATATATATATATACATAGAGAGAGAGAGAGAGAGAGAGAGAGAGAGAGAGTAAATGAGGATGGTGGGATCATCATCAAGCAATGTTTTAAATATAAAATATGTCTGATAAAAATCTAAACCTTAGGTAATTCATTACGAAAGTGTCTATACTATATTAAACTTTCATACCCCTCTCACATGTGAGTGTATTTAAGGTTGATAGGTGAAAATGGAGAGAGCATTGCATACGTATTTCATATAATCCTAATTTCGTAATAAAAATTCATAAAATGATTCTGAAAAACAACAATTAAATTTAATAAAATCAATAATAACATTTACTATCACGTGCTTTGCACATGCTATCTGGCTGAGAGGTCGCTGGATATCAAACATAATTCAAATCAACGATTAGATACCCCAAATGATCTGCACCGTCGAACTAAAACTCCAAACCATCACCAGCCTAAGCCGCTTGGCGACCACCTCGGTCGCGTTAAATAGCCTCACCGTCGTCGAATCCTTTCCGCTCTATTGCCCACTCTGTGTCTCCGGTTCCGAGCCCTAGGGTTTCCGATCTCCTCCTGTTGACGCCTGGTCGCCTTGGATGTCGCTCTTTCTATCGGACGAGGAGCTCCGGCTCCTCTCCGATGACGCAGCCGCTGTGGCGGAGCGCGCCGACGGTGCGATCCGCGACCTACGCTGCCAGCTCGACACCGTCCGGGCGGAGGCCGACGCCGCCGCCATCGCCGCCGAGCAGAACTGCGCCCTCCTCGAGCAGCGCTATGAGACACTCTCGTCCGACTTGGCGCGTGTGCGCTCCGAGAACACCCAGCTCTCCGCGTCCCTTGAGCAGAGGCTCTCCGAGATTGCTGATGCCCAGGCCGAGAAGCACCAGCTCCATCTCAAAGCCGTACGCCCCTCTTCCTTCGTTTCTTTATTGTCACCTGCCCTATTTCTTATTTCCTTTTTCGTGGAAAAAGGCTCTTTTTTGAAAGCCGTAGGTCCTTCGTCCTCAACCCTAATCGTTACTCCATTTTTTTTGTTTCTTTTCTTTTTCTTGGATCGACGCTCTTTTTCCTCGTCTTCATATCGCTATTTCTTTGCTGTTTTTAGATTGGAAAGGATGGAGAAATCGAGAGGTTGTCATTGGAAGTAGCAGAACTCAACAAGTCTAAACGGCATTTGCTGGAATTGCTGGAACAGAAGGATGCAGAGACCAGGGAGAAAAATGCCACGATACAGAGCTATCTGGACAAGATCGTGAGTCAATTTACCGTAACGTTGTTCTTAATATTTGAATGTAGGAGATATCCTTGTAAAACGAAGTTCTCGATGGGTTTTAACGGTCCAACGGATCATCAACATGAAGCAGTTTGTTTAATTTGACCCTTTAGTCAGAATTTGGTGTTATTTATCCCTAGTTAGATCCGTAATATATAGGGGACATAGTACGTGTTTCTCTGAGGCGGTTAAAGCCTTGTTATTGAAGATTAAATCTGATCAATTATAGCATTGTCCTCTTAAAATTTTATGATATGGATGTAGAAGCTTTTTACTGTTTAAGAAAGTTCCTTGCTAAATGGAAAGATAGTAAAGCAAATAAAAATTGCCCACTTGAGTTTCATCCAAGTTAAGTACGAATCCTTCAGTATTGCAAAGGATCATGTCTAAACATTTTTCTTCCAACTTTTGCTGTATAAGTTTTAGGCACTCAGATCCTGCTCAATGGCTGTAAATGTTGTATTTATGGTCTAAGACCATATCTCAAACCAATCCGCTTTTTACCATTCTTCTTAGTACTTCAGATGGACTACATGGTTTCTGAAAACAATAGGGAGCTTATCAGAGATCTTCCTGATCACATGGAAGGAAGGACAGAATGAAAATTCAAAAATGTAGGTTTTGGATGCAAAATATATTTATCAATTATTTATAAGTTTGAGATTATAGTCCACATGGCCCATGCAAAATTTTGTCAGTTCCATTTTAACATTTTATTTATAGTCTTTTAAAGTATCAATATTGGATATTATACCTTTGACAGTTTGGAAGCCAATTTGTGCATGTTTCAATTATAGTGGTTTTCGTAATTTTTTTGGGAGGCATAATAAATTTCTTTATTGAAACCTAAATGTTGAACCTCAATGTTGTCAACATCATCCTTACTGAAAAATGTAGCAATGTCTTAGAATTTATTGTTTTTCTCTAACTGAAAGATATATTGTAATCTATCATGCCTTTAAATCTTCTAGTTTCGTGCTTATTTTTTTCTTTTAAGTGTTTATCATCACCCTGCAAAATACCCAACTGTGAATTTTTGTTTTTTTTTTCTGTAGATTAATCTGACAGATAATGCTGTTGACAAGGAGGCCAGGCTGCAGAATCAAGAAGCAGAATTGGCACGATGTCGTGCTACATGTGTTCGTGTTAATCAGGTCAAGATTACATACTGCAGTTATTTATAGGACTAAGTATGAGTACCTTGCATCATAGAGTAGCTATTGTGTTTTGCATGGAAGCCAGAGGCAAGTGTCACATATCATTCCTAGTTTTTTACTTCCTGATTGTTGCATATGTGGATAACTGGTACAGATGAACTCATACTGATGAATTTTGTTTCCCAAACAAGGTACTATGTTGAATGCAAAGTTGATTGTAGGAAACTTGCCAGTTTTGTGCATTTCACTGGGCCATGATTATGTTGCATGTCCATGTGTTTTGACTCCCAACCCTACTCAATCTCTAGTTGATTAGACCTGAATCACATTATATATATATATATATATATATATATATATATATATATATATATATATATGTGTGTGTGTGTGTGTGTGTGTGTGTGTGTGTGTGTGTGTGTGTGTGTGTGGTTGGACTTACTGATTGATGATAGGATTTATTTTATTGGTGGTTCAGATAGGTTAGGTCTACATGCTGTAGCAACACTACATAATTTTTTTTAACCTAAGGGCTTAATTGATTAAGACAGTGTTTGTTGTTTCCGTATCTAGTGTCGCTGTCGTGTTGTTGATGTTTTTGTTATCTTCTGCAACCTTTCCCAAATATGTTAAAAAATGCTATGGGTCATTTTGGTACTTTTTAGTGGGCCTTTGTGCAACTGTAAGTTCACTCCATTCTGGCATAGGCTAAGGTCACGTTAACCTCTTGATGGACATAGATCTCAGTGCACGTATTTGTATCCCTAAGACCTTTGGCAGGAGTCATGCTCTGAGGGTGAGGGTTGCCCTTTTTGTTGCAGGTTAGCTAAGGTTGTATTCTTAATTCTTGAGCACTCATCTTTACTACATATTCTGAAGTCTTAAACTATAATCTTAGCAAACTCTTTTTGGGGGTCTTTTTGCTTTTTCATGCTTTTCTTCTAAAGTTTTTCTAATTCCAAAGCCATATAAAATCTTTTCTGGGCTTTAGAAACCAGATTGCCAGATTCATCTGGATATCAAATTTGCAACCATATTTCGTTGATGATAATGTCATCATACTTAATCTTTTTCTACATTGTTATAATGAACAGGAGAAAGAGCTTCTAGAAAAGCACAATGCATGGCTTAATGAAGAATTGAGTGCAAAGGTTAACAGTCTTGTTGAAGAGCGTAAAACACATATGGAAATCGTGGCTGATATGTCTGCTAAACTTGCTGACGTGAGTGTTCTAATCCTAATGAAAGGTTTTTTATTTTTCAGTGCATTGAGTTCTGAAAGCTTTGCAACTATTCCTGTTATGTTATTTGCAGTTTGAGAGACAGATCAATGAAACTTCTAGTTCATTGAAACGAAATAATGAAAGAATACAGGAGTTGGAAATGAGAAATGCCTCGTTGGAAAAAGTAATGTTACATTCTTTTGATTATTAACTGTATAAGTTTGCCACTCTCTTTGTCTGGCCTGTTCATATCATGTTCTGTTTATTGGCCAATTTAAGGAGTTGTGCTCGTCAAAGGATGCCGCTGCAGCTAACGAAGAGCAACTTTCTTCTGAACTGTCAACTGTCAGTATCATCTTTAATTCAGTTTGTTGCTGTGTTATTGATATTCATGCTTCTCTGGTTATCAGCAATCTTTAGCTGCTTTTATAAAGTACACTTGAAAAACATGCAGAAATTTTAAAAACTAGCAAATAATTTGTAGACCAAGTAAAAGTCAAGAATTGAAGAAGAGTCTTGGGGTTTGATCTGGATTTTGCTGTGGTTCCTTTGCATTACATGTTGTGCTTGGGGAAGATATTTTTCACTGGCTGTTAACATATAACATCTGTAAACATTGGGGACGATCGAGAACTTCTGTCATATATTCTCTAGATGTAGTTGTACCTTTTTCTTTGGGGTGGGGGAAGTAAGGTTTAACTTGGGGTGTACCTACATTGATGATCAATGATTGCTTTCCACTAGCTTGCTTAGAAAAAAAAAACTTAATACTGTCTAACTTCAAGTTGTACTCTGCTTCATCTCTTGTGCCGCTTCTTATCCTATCTCTCCTGTCTTGAGATTCATTTATTCACAATCTGAATGATGTAGGGAGGAATTTGAAGAGGTTAACAGCAGTTTAGCATCTGATTATTAATGTTTTAAATGGATTTTTACATGGTTCGTATTACCGGTTCATACTGGTGGACTGACCAGCTATCGGTATGGTACATACCGAACTGTACTGGCACAGTATGGTAGGCGACAAACTGGTATGTTCTGCCCATACCAGTCTCTTATTGGATTGGTATGTACCGCCCATACTGAGCGGTAAACTGCAGTACAGTAACTGTATGCTGTAGTACGACGAACCTTGGATTTTTCATATGTAAAATTAGAGGGCGAGCCTTGGCGCCATATTAAGGCTGTTCCTGAGCAGTCTGAGTAGCCGGGATTTGAGTGACAGAAGCAATCTTTCTGTTTCTAGGGGTCAGATTGCACATTCACCCTCCATATTCTGCATTTGTACAAGCTTCTTGTACTTGGCTTGTCCTTGCTCTCATATATAAAATTGTTCCTTGAACTGGTTAATGTATACTGGCTAATACTTGCAATGGTTGATTGTTATTGTTGTTTATCAGTGTGGTTCAGAGTGCAAGTTGATCTGATATAATGGATCATGTAGTTTTGGTTCCATCATATTCAGTTTGTTGTAATTATCTTTAGTATGAAGGCCTTTTTATTTTGTAACATATTACAGAACTAAAATGTCATTTGACAATGCTTTAATGAAATCTATGTCTCTTCTAATTTCTCTTTATAAAAAGGTTACAAAACTGGCTGAACTATACAAAGAGAGATCTGAAGAATGGTCCAAAAAGGCTGGAGAGCTTGAGGGTGTTATTAAAGCATTGGAGGTTAGGATATGTTTACCATCTCATGCATTACATATTTTTACCTATATTCAGTTTCAGTCTGTATAGTGAATATGCACTCATTGTTGATCTTCTGCTTTTGTTTTCCTTTGTCGGATGCAGACACATCTTTCCCAGGTTGAAAATGAGTACAAAAATAAACTTGAAAATGAATCTTCCCTGAGAAAAAATCTTGAGAAGGTATGAATTTGGGTTTTGACGCTGAATAACTTATAATTTGGTTGTTATTAATTCCAGTAGGGGTACAAGTTAGCATATTTTGTTTATCTCTGTTTGTCAAATTGTCAAATTACCTCCCATGTTTCATGTTGATGCATGTTTAGTATCCTGAGGTACATTTTTTACCATATCATTCATGCTCGTGCCTGTGCAATCAATATACATTGCAATTATGCAACAGAGATCTATTGTTTTCATCCATACAGACAGTCATTCTTTGTTGTACAAATGATATAGATTGGTATGTTTAGTCTGCTCGTGATCGTACATAAGGGCTTCTATAGTCACATGAGAAGCCATTTTGAAAGTTTTGTTTTTATACTGTTATAATGTGACTTTTTCTTGTCATGTAGGATGCTTCCGACTTGAAAGGAAAACTAGAGAAATATGAAGCTGAACTTGAGAGTGCTAGAAAGGCTAATGAATTGAGCATCATCCCGATGTCCAGATTTCATGCAGATACAAATTTAGAGGAGCTGTATGTGCTCTGTCTTTTGATTGCTTGGATTATAAGTTTATTTTCTTGTGTTATTTTTATTAAGAGCTAAATTTCATAAATTATTTAAGATTCTGTTTATCATGAAAAAAAGTTCATTTTTATTTGAATAATGAAATTATGTAGGAAAATTGGAATAAGCGATTGGGAGAAGGAGCTTCTTTTTCTTTGTGGATTTGTACTATATTTTTTAGTCATTATTTCGTCATCAGTTTTTTTGCTTTTAAGAACTTTATATTGCTGGATTTTGGAGTAGTTAAATGGAAACTTGATTTACATGATACTTGAAGATATTGAGGAAGTTGAGAGGTATGTTTTATGAGACAACTAAATGTTGTCCAGGTCAAACTTCAGATTTGAGAATAGTTGAACACTGTGAACATTATAAGAAATTCCTGTTAGCAAAGAAGTGGTTAACAGGTACTTCTTTAGAGAATATATATTGTTCTATTAGGCAGTACTGTGTTTGAGGAGAAATGTGGCTTACAGGTTGGTTCTGTGCAATTAAATTTTATTCTTTACAAAAGTCTATATTTGTGGTTAGCAACTTGTTTGTTCTTTTAAATAATTTCCTGTAGAACGATCTGTAATTTTTTGTGAAACAGGAGAATAAATTCTGGTTGATACTGACAAGTAGGATGGTTTTGTGTTCATGTTTGTTTTCTTTCAGAACCTGTGAACTTGACCTATATAGTTGATGATATTAGTTTACACTCTCATATGCAATTATGCAAAACATCGTCTCTGTCATTTTAGTTTTAAGGCAAATACATAGTTGGAAACATAAGATATGTGTACTTGAAATGTGTCTTACGGAAATAAATCTGGATCTGGAAATTTTGGGCATAGAAAATTGAAACGAAGAATTGAAATGAAGAATTGAAATGAATATGCTTCTTATTGCACCTTTTTGATATCATGAAACCTGAGATTTGATCAAAAATTAAAATTCTGAAATACATGGCACTCATCTAAAAAGTCCTGTTGAATTCGGCTTGGACAGTATATTTATGGGACCTACATGAGGTGAAAGTTCTTTCACTTAACAGAAAATCTGACCAGAAGCTATTGAAAGTTTTTGCTGATATAATGTGTCATGTACTCTGACCACATCTCCTTCCACTCTAATATCTCTTGTTTCTTTCTGAATGTTGTTTGAGTTCATGGTACATCCTAGTTCTGTTCTGTCATGTGATAAGCATTGTGGCTTATTTGTGTTGTTATAAGGATCTCTTTTACTTTTTTGCAGATCAGTTGCAGAAACAACCAGCTGTAGAACATATGAGAACAATCAGATGCTTGTCCCCAAGTTTCCAATTGGTATTTCAGGCACCGCATTAGCGGCTTCCCTAATAAGGGATGGCTGGAGTGTGAGATCGTGCACCTACTCTCAATCTTGTCCTTCATTGTTAGTTTTTGCTTATTGAGCGTGCTTGTTTGTTGAAGTTGTTTTCTTCAAAATGCAGCTTGCTAAAATATATGAAAAATATCAAGAAGCTGCTGATGCTGCACGGCATGAGAAATGGGGCCGAAAAAATGCAGAAGCTGTTTTGGAGCGGGTACTGATTCTGACTATTGCACCATGATAGATGGCTGTCATTTTTTTAATGTCAACAAGTTCTTATTCTTTTGGATATTTAATGAATCATGCTCTGAAGTTATTTTTTCCACAAATTTTGTACTCCTAACCTTTTCGTTTGAGATAGCATCTTATTGGATACTGCAGCATGGTTACTGTGAGCTATGGATGTTTTAGCATAGAGCTATGGTTTTTGTTGGCAGCTTGCACTTTTTTGTTCAATTCCTTTATCAAATTTCATTTTTGGTATATAGTCTCTTGTGATAGTATTCAAATACGATGGATTCTGAGACCAGTAACTTGTTGGCAATATAAAGAGTTGCCCTATAGGTTCCCCCAAAATGGTCATCTTAGTGAACACTTTTCTCATCGAATAGGATCAGCAGACAGTGAAACCATTATATAACCTCTTTTAATGAGCGGGAGCCTTCAGTAGACTTGCCCTGTAAATTTAATGAAGATAGACAAAGAAATGAGAAATCCAATCAAATCCATGAAAGTTTCAGCATGCTATTTTAGGCATTCTCTTCTGTTTAGAATTCGATTTTTGAAGTTCCACTTTCCTATTCAAATACTATTGCTATTGTAGATTCTATATTGTTGAGAAGTCTTTTGTTTAATTAATTTTCACAATGCGGGTAGGAGGAAATTGAATTCTGTGATAGTATATGACTTTGAGGTTTAGGTATTTGTATAGTCATTATTTGCACAAGTTGAAATGGATGCTAGAATGAAATTCTTCTGAAGTTACATGATTTGTTTAATTATTTTTGAATGACACACTTGTGCATTTTTGTGTTCTTTTTTTGGCAACTTTTTAAGTGTACCTGACAATGATACCTAATTTTTGGTCGAAGATACTGCAGGTTTTCTCTTTTTGAGTAGCCATGTAGCAGCCAAAAACACAAGTTAGGTTTATATGAGTAGTGTCTGAATATGTGAAAATTCCTCTTATGTATCATTAAATTTTATTATCCATGGTTGCATCTGTGAGAGACTTGTGCTTTTAGGTGTTTATTTCAACATCATAGTATTAGGGTGCTTATTTCTTTCTAAATTAGAACATGTAGGTTATACAAGAAATTACTAATGTTTGTATTTGATGCATAATTTTGTCTAAATTGAACATGTAGGTTCTACATGAAATCGAGGAGAAGGCTGAAATAATTTTGGATGAACGAGGTGACTCCTTCTGTTTTATGCTGACTAGAGATAGCCTTTTTTTGTTTTTTATATTTCATAAATTTCCTTTTCATTCATAAGTTTTGTTGTTATATATACTTTTTTTTATTCTTCTGATTTATGGTATCTGAGCTGGCAGGTGGATGTAACTTATTTGTAATTAAAATGCTATTTTGTTAATCAGGTTCTACATAGGAAATAATATCTTGTGGAATTGTTTAAACAGTGAACTATCAAGTCTCCTATTGGCCTTGTGAATGTTGGTTAGGACTACTAGGCATATGCAAAGAAAATTGAATTTTTGTTGGACTATTTCATTTGTACCTTTGCACTTTCTGGTTTCAGATAATTTGACTCGACAAGAGTTAAATATAATAATCACATAGTGAATACAAAATCATAGAGCCACAGATCTCGATCATAATAGCATCAAAAGCATAAAAAAGAAAGGTAACCAAGAAACAGGAAAAACAAAGGGAGCAAAAAAGATCGGGCAAAGTGAATATCAGAAAGATAAATCGGTGCCTCAAGCCAATATTCACAGTACAAGGCCGCCATGCATAATAGAAGTCAATATCGTAATTGTGTTTGCTGTACAACAAATGCTACTGCACTATAAAGAAATAAGCTACAGACAATAGCACAGGACTATGGTTTTTCAGTACCATGCCATCTTGAACAGGACCAAAAGAAAGAATCTCATCTAGAGTTTGAATATTCTCTCATTTCTACTTCTTCCATGATTATTTTAATATGTTTATTGTGGTTGTGTTCTTGTTGTACTCATTTATGTTCTTGCTGGAAGATAAAACCTTGTTAGCTTTGTATCAGCTGAACATGAGAGAATGATTGAAGCCTACAATTTGATGAACCAAAAGTTGCAGCAGTCTTTGCTGGAGCATGATAGTTCTGAGAATATCATTCGAAACTTGAAGGTATGGAAATTCATTGTGGAAATACATATTAATTTTTACAGTCTGTCCTAAAAGTTGTCTTTTAGGCCGAATTGAAAAAGCGTGAGCGTGATTATACAATCGCGCAGAAGGAAATCAGTGATCTTGAGAAACAGGTAGGTGTCTTCATGTTCTTTGAGTCATTAAGAGGAAAAATATGAAGTGCTGATTAAGATTGAATCCATTGATGAACATTTTTGTTGATGCAATGACTTTGTTGTAGGTGACAGTACTATTAAAAGAATGCCAAGATATTCAAGTTCGCTGTGGTGTTTCTCAAGTATATGCTGACAATTCTCTTGCAAGTTCTCTTGACATTGATGGAATTAATGCCGGGGGTTCTATTACTGAATGCCCTGTATGTCAGTTTACATAATAAATTTTATGACATTTTTTCACTTTAAAATCACTCCTTTCAGATAAGTTCTGAAATGTTTTACATATATTTTCCACTTCCAACAGATGTCTTTCAAGGACATAAATGAACTAGTTGAGCAAAATGTCCAACTCCGAAGTCATGTGCTTAGGCTTTCTAGTGAAATTGAGAATAAGGAAGAGGAGTTAAAGGTGAATATCAAGTTCTTAAATGATATTTTGGATCTTTCTTTTCCACTTGTGTTTGTAATATGGAGTTTATAAATTAGTTCAACTTCATTACACTATTTGTATTTTTACAGTGTACTTGATGGTTGTCTAGTTGTCTGAGTATTCATGTCTTGTTTTTTAGGAGAATTTCCAAATTCAGCTCCAAAAGGTCACTGAGGAGGCAACTGCTAAGGTTGATACAGTGCTAAAAAAATCTGAAGAACAAGGGCAGATGATTGAATCTCTTCATAGCTCTGTAAGTCATGGGCTTGTGGTCATGCTCATTTTGAACTTTACGAAAGAAACATATTCAACATTGCTTAAGTGTTTTACATCCATGTTGCAATCTTGCCTATTTCTTGTGTAGGTTGCAATGTATAGGAGATTGTATGAGGAAGAGAGGAGGACGTTAGCTTCTAGCCATGTGTACAAAGAATCTATTCCAGGTGCAATTTTTTTTATATTCGATATATTGTACTAAGATGCACTTTGGAATCTTGAGGATTATTATCCAAGTCATCTTTGTGATATGTGACTTTATACATCAAATTGCATGTGCAATGTTGCAACCAGTGTTTTCAAAAGCGCTAGGTGCTCGCCTAGTCTCCCGCCTAAGTGAAGCAAGGTGCTCCCAGATATTAAAATTTTAAAAATATATTAAGATTGATAAATATGATCACAAAAATAAAAATGACACAATCACATAAAGTAAAGTTACATTGCAGGAAATAAGAGCAGATATCTAGTATCTACAATATTCCTACGTAACAGTATATGTTCTAACTCCTAATAGTGTACCCACCTCAAGTTGATGTTGGAAATTTAACGAAGTGTAGGAAATACAAATAGGAAATAGGAGATCATTAATGGTGCAGGAAAGAGATCATTTAACAAAGCTGTTGTTACCTATAAACTGAGAAAGAGGAGGAGATGGAGAAGTAATCGATGGAGGATGGTGGTGATTAGGGCAGAGGATATTGGCAATCTATGGCAAACCAAAGCTGGTCGACGACATAAACACACATGATGAAGAAACAAAGTTCCAGACTGTCACGACCTTAGCTAG